GCTGAGAGGAAGTGGGGTGACCCATAGAAATCAGCACAATGCTGGAATTCTCCAGAAAACTGGCACGTCTCCATCCCGGGGAGTGCAGGAGGAGGGGTTGGCTCCTCAGTGGCTGGGCCTGGGCATCCCCTCTTAGTGAGCATGGTCAGCTCTCTGCACCGCAGGAAACTCCCTGTCAGTGACGGGCAACAGGCCTCATTGGCACTTAACCCCCCAAAAAGTAATGGCTCAGCTCTGTTACTGTTCCCAGCTGTGACCTGCTGAGACCTCTGGAGCATTTTACTGATGAAACGAACCCGATCCAGAAGACAAGAAATGATTTCCTACAATGTCCAGCCTCTCTGTTCTCCTTACAGCCTGGAGCAATGTTAGTACTCCCCACCCCACAGTGTCAGACCCCCAGAGGGGGGTGACCTGACACTGTCAGCTCTCCCCACCTCAGCGATGGACCTCAGCCACCCTCTCCAGGAGGATCCAGCACTAAATGGATTCCAGAGTCTGAGGTTCCCATCACTGTCCCATGAGAAGCCCTGATGTGTAAGGCTTGTAGAGTGACTGGTGTGAGTATTCCTCACATGCTCCTCCCTAACCATGTGGATTGAATCCTCACCTGTAAGATCCAGTTCGACTTTTTCTGTGTTCTCCTGCAGCTTCACCTCCTCTGACTCCACGTGCGTCTCCGCTGTTTTCTTCTTCAGGGACAGGTGCATCCACCTTCGTGGTGAGGAAACTGTTCTCTCCTCATTGCTCTCTGCCATCGAGGTGTCAGACTGGCTGCAGACACAGAGTGTTTTCATGCCTGATAGGATGGTCCATGAGAATTTGCTTCTCTGGGGCTTCTCTGGCAAGGCCTGTTCTTGCTGGCTGAGGACAGAGCATGCCTCGATTGCTGCAGGTTGGACGAACACTTTGTGCACGTGGATCTCTCTGTGCTCCCTAGAGGCGAGTCTTTGGAAAAAGGAACGAAGCCTGGAGTAGAAAGAAGGAGGAAATGGGGTTTTCTGTCATTCTCTAAAGGAAGGGAATTAGTTTGCCCAGGATTCACAGATCCAAGAGACTGGTCTTTTGAACCCATCTGCTCCTCTAATAGCCAGGACTTGATCATACAACTGAGAACATAAGCAACACAAGACCGCCCAGACTGGGTCAAACCAAAGGTCCATCTAGCCCAGTATCCTGTCTTCCGACAGTAGCCAGTGCCCCAGAGGGAATGAACAGGGACTGATCAAGTGATCCATTCCTGTCGCTCATTTCCGGCTCCTGGCAAACGAAGGTTAGGGACACCATCCCTGTGCATCCTGGCTAATAGCCATTAATGGACCTCACCTGCCTGAATTTAGCTAGTTCATTTTTGAACTCTGTTATAGTTTTGGCCTTCACAACATCCTCCGGCAAAGAGTTCCACAGGTTAACTGTGCGTTGTGTGAAAAATACTTCCTTTTGTTTGTGTGAAACCTGCTGCTTTATTAACAAAGTCTTCAAAGGGGGCACTAGGGTGTGAACCAAGGACCATTTGATCTGCAGTCAAACACTCTACTCCTGAACTCTACCCCCATGATTAAATCCAGCTGAAGGTGAAGACACATGGGACCATGGTGAAACAGGAATTCTTCTGGGGAAGTTCTAGGGCCTGTGTTATGCAGGAGGTCAGACTAGATGATCAGGGCTGGCCTTAGAGCCTTTGAAACTCTGAATTTATGAACATCACAGGTTCTCCCCTTTTGTTCTCTAACAGGAAACCTCCATCCACCAGATCTGTAATTCCTCCCATCCTAGCACAGTCGCTGGCTACATTTCCTAGCCTGACTCTCACCCCATGGATCTCACGCTTCCTCTGCCATTGGGCAGACATGGAAACCGCAAAGGTCAATTTCTATTTTCCTTGGTCACTGCCTGGGCCTAGTTGCAAAACTGCTTCATTATTAACCCTGCTCCTTTGTCCACAGAATGTTGGGACTCTGGGAACAGATGGTGCCAAGCTGAAAACCAATAAACCTCTGTTCCCAGAGAACCCAGGAAAAGAAACAAAAGATTGTCATCGAGAAGGATTAAGGGTCTGGAAGGATGGATTAGCAGCTGCAAATATGTTGACTTATTCTCAACTATTTGAAAATCTGGAATTTATTAGCATGGGGAAAATAATCAGTAAACTTTAAATGAAGAATTTCCCACACTATTTATAACATCCAGTCAGAAGTTGGGCCACCAGCACAATAACAAAGAAATCACACCGAGACCCATGACAAATGTAGGCTACAGTTTATTTAAACCCCTTTCCTGGAAAGGAACTGCAGGGGGGAATTTACACATCTATTGTATATAGCCCAATGGGGGCATAGTAGAATTTGTAGAGAGTTTTGAAGTCTATCTCCATGAGATTATTTCTGAGAACTGCCAAGATGACAGCCAGGGGATGGGAGTGGAGCTGTATCACTTTCAATAGCTTAAGATTTCTTTCTTCTGCATTATTTGATCTCATTTATGTGTGTTTCAGTCATGTAAATTCT